AGGCAACCCATTTGCCCAAAAACAACCCGTTATTAAACAATTTCAAAATATCCACGGATCTCATTATCAACATTCACATCATTTGTTGCTTACCATTCCTTTTTTTGAAAGCAAGTCATTATTCTTTGATGTAAAATTGTCCTTAATTTGATTAGTATTTAAAGTTATATATCTTCCAAGGAAGTTGCTTATATATACATGCAACTAATTTTGATTCTAAAGCTTCAACTACTCCTCAATTATTAACCTATAAAGTCACAAATAAGGGAATGAAATACACTCAAGCTTAGTAATACACACTTCACCTAATTGCACCATCATCAACTTAATTAGTAAATTGAGTATATTTTAATTTAATTAAAGCTAAAACTCATTTGTTAATTGATTGATGACAAAAATCACAAAACTATCCTAATAGAGCAAAATTCATCTCTTTTCTTTCTCAAACTAAAAATAAAATAATATTTCTGTTTTCACATTTTTGTACTTTAATAGTACTAGCGTAGTACCTACAATTCTACAAAAGTGGAAGATAACCCTAGAAAAAGTAAAAAAAGGCTACCAACACTTTTTACTATGAAAATATTTATCAAATTTATTAATTCAGACTATTGTCGCATCTTTTTCAATCTCATATCCTTTTTATAAAAAATAATAATAAAATTATTAATTATCCCGAGATAGAGTATATTTGAATCAAATTAGTTAATTCAAAGGACAAATTCGTACTTTCAGTAACTGAAACTGAAACTGAATATTGTACGGAACACTTCACTAAAAAATTAAAGAAATTAAAAAATTCATTTAAAAATAAAAATAAAAATGATAATTCTCATTAATTCTTTCTAAAATAGTCGAATAACAAGAAAATTCCAACTCGGGATGACTCGTTCTTGCCATCGCTCCCCTGAGTCAAACTCACTAAAAACTCACCTAAAATAAACTCAATAACTCGTTTAAATCCTTCTGAATAAAACTAAAGGATTTAAACCCAGTTAGAAAAAACGCCAATTAATTCACATTTTTTCTGGCGTGTTTAATAATATTCAGCTGCCTTAATGAAAAAGCTGAAAATTCCAAAAAAAAAAAAAAAAAACACTGAGTTAACTCGACTCGAACGAGTCTACTCAACAGATTGATTTCTCGGGAATGCCGCGAAGCAAGGGTACGTGCGAGTGAGACTCATTGACTCGGCAACGACTCAGGAGATTTTCAGAGCGAGTTACGACTCGGATTGCATCTTCGAAGGCGAGCTCATCGCAAGGAATGTAGAGTGGGCCATCGGTATTATCGAACCCGAACTCTTCTTCAGCTTTCCGAAGAAGGTTCTGGAAGATTGGGTGGTTCAGGTGTGTCGCTTTTACGATGAATCGACGACCGTTGATTCCGACGGAGACCGCCACGTGTCCAGGTGGTACATCGAACGGTACGGATGCAATCGATGCCTTTTTCCGCCACCGTTTCAGCATTTGGGTTAGCCGTACAATGTGCCGTATACGATTGCTCCTCCACATAAAAACCCAGAAAATTGAAATTGGGAAGAGAGAGAGAGAGGAGAGAGAAAATTTGGAAAAATGGGGAATTTCGGAGTTTACTGTGTGTGGGAGTTGGAATATTTGTAGGGTTAACGGTTTTTAAGGGTTTATAAAGGAGTAAGTGGAATGGAGTGTAATTGCCCTTGTTTTTTAAGATATTTACGGGATTAACATTATTTTTCTTTTAACTGATTTCAAATTATCAATAGACTTTAGGATAATTTTGGGATTTTTATATGATTCTGATTTTACCGTTGATTTTTTATTTTTAACGGTTGATTATGGTGGAGTAGTGGATTGAGATTTGAGGGTAGGGTACTCCCGTCGTATCTTTTTAAGTGCATCACTTTCTAAAAATGATCGTTTTTTTAATAAGTATATCATTACCAAATACAAAAATCCTTCTCACCTTATATACATCACCCATATTTTAATAAGTGCTATACTTTGACCGGCATATAATTTTTAGCCAATTTAATTGATTTAAATAAAATAAGAGGGTAATTAAGGTAGTTAGAGTAAAAAAATTAAAGAAAGGTGGTGGAGTTGATAATTTATCGAAAAGTAATGTATATGAGAGGAAATAAGTAATAAAAAAATTAGTAGTGGGTTTGGGTGGGGACCATGAAAGAATAAAATATAATATTAAAATGTAACTTTTTTGTCAAAAAAGAAAGTGTAACACTTATTAAAATACGGTCGCATTTGGTAAATGTAACACTTATTAAAAGAATATTATTTCTCTCTTCCTTTTCACTCCACTATCATTTTACTCCCTCCCTGTTTAAATAAATGAACGTTTTTTTTTTTAATTATATAAATGAAACGTTTCTTTTTTAATAACTTTTCTCTATTTTTTTTAAAAATAAAATTCACTCTATTTTAAAAAATATTATACTAATTATTAGTCCCCACAAAACCCTTGATCGAGTAACCCCTGACCGACCGAATAATTTATCCCTAATCGACCAAGTAACCCCTGACTCATCGAGTAATCCTTAATCAAGTAACCCCTGATCGATCGATTAACCCCTAACCGACCGAATAACCACTGAATAAGTAACCCCTGAACGAGTAACTTTTAAATAAGTAACCCCAGCCACACAAAAAACACGCTATATGTTTAATTACCATTTTTATGGCTGAATCTAAACATATTTTTTCTATTTAATAAATAACAAAAAAATGTACTTCGTAAATTATTAACTATTAACAATTTTACTGTAATACTGATCGAGTAAGCCTTATAACACTAGCGAAGTAACCCTAAGAATTTAATTTAATTTTTTTTTTTGGTAATTAACGAAAAATAAATTTATGTATAATAAAATAGTACCATTTTGAAAAATAGAATTATTTTGGTATATAAAATGGAAAGTGTAATATTAATATTTTAATAAATAATTTTGAATCAATTAAAAAAATCCTAATTTTATCCGTGCATACACTAAGCCAAGTGGGGACAGCTGTCCCCCCCCACTTTTTTTAAAAAAATAATAAAAAAAAAATAGTTATAAATAATTGTGTGCGACAAAATGATGATGAAAAATAGCTGGTTTAGTTGTCAAGCTCTTGTAAAGAGCTCTTTGTGGTCATAGGTTCAATCCTTGTCTCTAACATTTTTTTTTTTCCTCATTTTTATTTTAAAAAATTTCCCCTTTCCTAAATCATTTCCCCACTTCATAGTTCATAGATATGGTTTTTTTTTTCCTTTCATTTATAAAACAATTATGCAACAACCAAAAGTAATTGTTCTTTTCCGGAGCCCCATTGATTCAACTAGAAGTATAGAAGTAGTGATGTTTAATTAAATCATGTACTATCTTCTAAATTACCTTAGCAATATACATAATTTTTTTTTTAATAATTGCTCAAATTGCAACCCCAAATTATTGGTTGTAATAGGGATTGATTTTATTATATATGTCTATATAAATTAAATTACCAAAAGGTGTGGGAATATAGTTATAGCTACCAAAGTGTCGATATAAATTAAATTAAAATAGTGGGAATATAGTTATAACAAATTACAGTTTGATTATTATCTTGACCTTATCCATTAAGAGCTACTCCATATTCCTATATATATATTAGTCTAATGACCAGGTGATTCGTGGATTGTTGATAAAATTTAAGATAAACTTTAATTTTGGCTTGAATGCACTGGCGGAGCCAAGTGGGGACAGTTGTCCTCCCCCACTTTTTTTTTTAAAAAAAAAAAATAGTTATAAACAATTGTGTGCTACAAAAAGATAATGAAAAATGGTTGGTTTAGTTGTCAAGCTCTTTACAAGAGCTCTTTGTGGTCACAGGTTCAATCCTTGTCTGCAACAACCAAAAGTAATTGTTCTTTTCCTGAGCCCCATTGATTCAATTAGAAGTCTAGAAGTAGTGCTGGTTAATTAAATCATGTTCTAACTTCTAAATTACCTTAGCAATTTACATTATTTTTTTAATAATTACTCAATTGCAACCCCAAATTATTGGTTGTAATAGGGATAGATTTTATTACATATGTCGATATAAATTAAATTACCCAAGGGTGTTTGTCAAATTATATAACATCCTTAATCCGTCCCCCCCCCCCCTACGAGGAAAATCTTGGTTCCGCCACTGCTTGAATGTTAAATACGGTCAAATAATCTTTTTTTGAATCATATCGCTTATTTACATAATAGTGTATTTTTTGTACTTTTGTTTGTAAATAGATATCTATGCTATTATTGACTTGAAATTATTTTTATACTGAACTTAAATTATTTTTACTGAACTGAAAATATTTTTACAAGCTAAAACTACTTTATGAGTTAAAACTTATTTTTTCTAATTCTCTATCTTTTTTAAATAAATTAAATATATTATAAATGGATCTTATTTTAAAGAACTTTTTAAAACAAATTTTATGATGGAAATTGAACCGAGTTATAGGATATTTATTAAAAGTTATGACTAATTTTGTATACATGGAAAATTAGAAGTATATCAATAATAAAACTCAATACAATATTTTTATCTTAAAAAATCTATCCAAAATTTGCTTACTTAACATATATGTGTCACAATAATATCTATTTGTCGCCTACGTGGCGCGACACTTGGCGAAAAACTGGAATGCCAAGTGTCGCTGTCTCGTGGGCTGTGTAATCCCCCATTTTTTTCTTAGTAAATAATAATTATATATTTTTATGTATACAAATATTTTATAATAATTTTATACTTGTATAAATAATTTTGGAAAGATTTTGACAAAATAAGAACAATAACTTATTTTATACCCATTTTGGGCCCAAGACCATCATCCTAATTCTATTAAAGCTAAAAAAAAACAACAAGAAACCCTAAGCCCATACCCTCATTTTAATTAAGTAAACTTCTCCTCTCAAAACCCTCGTATAAACCCATCTACTGCTTCCTCTACTCCCTTTTCCCTTGCTTCCCCTTATCCATTCATGATTCTCACAATAAACAAAACAAAACAAAAAATAAAAAATTAAAAAATTAAAAAAAATTCGCCTGCTGCTGCCACCGCTGCCCTCGCCACCTGCTGCCACCACCCAGCCGGTTTCCTCCACCTTCCCCTTCTCTTCTATCTTTCTCTTTTCTTGTTTAATTTCTTTAAAGCTTCAATCTTGATATGATTATTGCTATCATGACTTGATTATGCATATGCATGATGAAAGATTGCAAATTTATTGAGTTTATGATATACTAAGTACATAATTAATTTTCAGATTTTATTAATTTAGAAATTAGGGTTTCGAAATCTTGATTTTTCGTAGTTTTGCGCTTAAAACGTGAATGATTGATTTAACTAGCTACTTTGTGTTTAAATATGACTCTAACTTTAATTTTTGATGGTTATAAATAATTTTCAGATTTCCAGAAAAGCTGATTTTGGGTTTAAACTATTCAAAACTATATTTTTAGAGTCTTATTTACACTATTTGGCTATCATAATTAAATTAGGTAATGGGTTGTTAAAATAGCATGTTTAAGGTAAAGTGATGTTCTAAAATTTTATACATAATCTGAATTTTAGTTGTCTTAGCATCAAAAATAAAACTTTTGATGTTTCTAAGTGTTTGTGAGCCTACTATAACAATATACAAGTGTGGATTGTTGAATTTCCAACTACTAATAAAATTAATTTTCAAATTTGTATTATATTTATCTTGGTTCAAGTTGTGGAATTTGAAGGTTCGATTGAGTTTTTATGAAACTAATTGAATTCTAAGTATATATTTCAAGTTTGGATTGTTGTATTTCTACATTCTACTATTAAATTTAATTTTTAGATTTTAATTTTTGGCTTTACAGGTTTAAATCATGGTTTTATGATGGATTTTTAGGTTTCTAACATACTAACCTAGTACCTAATGATTTCTTCAAGTATGGATGTTTATGAGGTTGTTTTACATGCTTAAAATGAATTTTCAGATTATAATTCTTACTTAAAGCCGCTGGAATTTACAATAGAAGCCATATTTTCATGATTTTAACATATAAACTTATAGTTGAATTACTAAATTATTAACTTTGGCTATTGGAAACAATTTAAAAGCATTATTTCAATAGTTTAAGGAGTTTTAAAGTAGTTTGGTATTGCTGTAAATTATATTGCTTGGGTATTAATTGAGCTATTGTTGTTTTGTTTAGGAGAGGACTTCGTAGAAGGTGACTTCTAGTCTTAAGGTGGCCAACCAATTCGTGTACTCAAGGTACGTATAAGAATACGAGGAACCTTAACTTTAGGAGCATGTTTAGGGACTTGGAAAAACCTAGAATCATGCTAGGGAACTTGTGGATTGGTTGAAATTGTTTGGTAATGAGCTTGATTGATGATAAATGTGATTATTGGTTTGACTTATGTATGAGAAATTCGTATTGATTCTTCCTTATAAGTATTATTTATACAATAATTTGCAAAGTGAGCTTAGAGGCAAAGATACAAGGATATATGGAATGAATTATTTTATTACTTGTTCATTAATATTGAAATGGAATGAGTAAAAGAAGAATTAAAGTCTTAAAAGACGAGGTTGAGGATTTGAGGTGCCTTATGCACTTAAGGTGTTTATACACCGAGGTAGTTAAAGGATTCAATAATAAATGTTGTTTGTCACTAATAAATTAAGAATTGAATTGGAAACTTGAATGGTTTGAATGATTGATGTATGATTGGCTGTGTTGTGTTGCAATTGAGTCATCACCAAGTTTAAACTGGTAAATCACGTAAAGTGCAAGAAGGATGAGCAATAAAACTCTGGATTTGTGCACATCTAGAGTAATGACAAACAGGGGTTGGGGTTCATGGGGTATTAGCCGTATACTTTTCAGAGGCCGTCTGATCTACGAGTCTCTTGTTTTAAATTCTTTTAAAGTTATAATGAGTTAGATGAGATCTCATACTAGCTATGGCCACGGAGTCGCGCCCGTCTGCCATTGGATGTTTATTAATGTCTTCCGAAATGAGGCATAGGGTTTTCTTTTATTAATGTTCCGAAATGGGGCATAGGGGGGCAACCCGGTCTATTGCTTAATCCAATCAAATTAATGAAATGATCAATGGTATTTAGTGAAAACTTAGTAATGATTAACAATTGAGTCATGTGTTCGAGTCAATGATTATATTGTGAGTGTACAGAATGCTTGTTAGTAACATGCTAGGGCTCTTTACTATATTTCGTAGCTTGTATGTACTCAGCGTTGCTGATTGCGTGCTTTTGTATGTTTCTTCTTGGTCATGGCCTTCGCCCTTCAATGACCCTGTAATGATTCAATTCTTACACTTGTAAAATTGGGGAGCAGATTAATCACAGGTTTTTACACAAACTGAACTTGCATCAAGGTGATGAGATTTTGAGTGGAGCATTGGTTAATCTCTTAGCTTATTTCATTTCATAAATTGATTTTATTTTGACACTAATTCTATTTACTTCCTATTTTACTGGGTTTTGAATAAGGGTCGTTATGGTTCCAACTTGTAAGACTAAATTTGGTTTTGATTATTATATTTGAAACCTAAATTTTTTTCTTAACTAAGTTAGTTTTCCGTTGCTGATTTCTAAAACTAGGCTTAACGTTTGAACACGTGGCGGTAACACGTCAGTAATTCTCTTACAGGTTATTACAAGTATTTACAGGTTATTACAGGTAATTACAGGTTTTAAAGAGAGAATTACTGGGGTGTTACAGGCTGGCTGCAAGACTAAATTTACTTATTAGTGACTAGTTTTGTGCCCGAGCGATGCCTAGATTGTTGATAAAATTTTTGGATAAAGTTTTGGCTTAAATGTTAAATATGGGCATATAATCCCTTTTGATAGTGCAAGATATTTAGACATACAATATCATATAATAGTGTACTTTTTGTAGTTCTGTTTGTAAATAGATATCTATGTTGTTATTTACTTGAAATTACTGTTATTGAACTTAAATTATTTTTACTGAACCGAAAGTATTTTTACCAAACCAAAATTGTTTTTATTGATTAAAACTTATTTTAATTGATTATCAACTACCTCTATTTCATATTTTTTTGCAACTTTGGAATATTTATATTTCACAAATAATACCCCAAACTTGCAAAAAATATGAAACGGAGGTAGTATTATTATTTTAACTAAATTAAAAATATTATAAATGAATCTTGTTTTAAAGAACTTTTTGAAAGGAATTTTATGATGGAAATGAAACTGAGTTATACAATATTTATTAAAAGTTATCATTAATTTGTATATATGAAATATTAGAAGTATAGTGATAATAAAACTCTACACCACATTTTTTATCTTAAAAAAATCTATCCAAGAATCGCTTACTTAGCAACATATGTGTCACAATAATACATATTTGTCGCCTACGTGGCGCGACACTTGGTGAAAATTGGAATGCCAAGTGTCGCTGTCTCGTGGCCTGGCTGCGAGACCGGCTTTATTTATTAGTGACTAGTTTTGTACCCGGGCGATGCCCAGGTAGTTGATAAAATTTTAAGATAATATTTTACTTAAATGTTAAATACGGTCAATAATTCTTTCTGATAATGTAGGATATTTAGACATACGATATCATATGACTTATATTTGTATGATAGTGTACTTTTTGTAGTTTTGTTTGTAAATAGATATCTATGACTTATTATTTTTATTGAACTTAAATTATTTTCACTGAACTAAAAGTATTTTTACCAAACTAATTTTTTTTTATTGATTAAAACTTATTTTTCCTGATTCTCTAATTTTTTTAAATAAATTAAATAACAATACATTTTGTATGCAGCTAGCCACACCATATGGCCGGACAAAGTAACCCCTATAAACCTGACCGAGTAATTCTTATAATACTAAATGAGTAACCTCTAAGACTAACTAAGTAACCCTTATCTATAACACTGATTGAGTAACCACTATAACACTTACCAAGTAACCCCTATAGCACTAACGAAGTAACTCTTGTAGTAGTTGGTGACACGCTTTGGCCAGCTACGTATAAAAGTTTGTGATTATATATATTATAAATTGATCTTATTTTAAAGAATTTTTTAAAACGAATTTGATTATGGAAATAGAATTGAGTCATTGAACATTTATTAACAGTTATGATTAATTTTGTATATATAAATTATTAGAATTCTATCGATAATAAAACTCTATACAACAATTTTATTTAAAAAATCTATCCAAAAATCGCTTACTTAGCATCATATGTGTCACAATAATACATAGGAGATGGCACGACACTTGGCGAAAAACTGAAATACCAAGTGTCGCCTTCTCGTGACCAGGTTGCGAGATCGACTTTATTTATTAGTGATATGATATGATATGATATGATATGATATGATATGATATAATACTCCATTTGTTTCTACATGGACTCTAATCCTATATTTATTGGATTACTCTTTTTAATAACTACTTTTACTAAATACAACGAACATATTATATTTTCACTAGTTCTTATTGAAAAATAGAAAATCATTCTTTGATCTATATCTTTGAGCAAAAACCTTTGTGCAAAAATGATATTTTCATCTTGATTGCTCCATCCAAGTCGATTTATTAGATTGAGCTAGTTGATGAGACCTTTGACAAATTAGCAAAACGTAAGTAAATATGGTAGATTAATGGTTGACTAGTTGTTTAAAAATTCTTAAATTTATTGTACAATTGAAGGCATTTTTTCCCTTTTGAGAAGACCTTCATGAGGTGACTACGAATTCACAATGACGTCAATAATAGAAAATTCCTATTCCATTAAACCGAAACTGGCAATTGACAACATATGTTTTTTATATATTGGTAAAAAGTATGGTCAAAATAAATATGTGAACAGTGCAAAAATCAAACTGTTGCAATTATTACGAAATAGAGTGTGTATCTAGTTACTATTTTTGATACACTATCTTAATTAGACAAATTATCTTCATATATCACACGATCGGAAAACTCTCTCACATTACTTTATAAATTTCCTATTATAAACTAAAATCAACCAGCCAAATACTCCAACCAATAGTCCTTTGTAGACCAATTAACATAAGCTTCCATAAGTGTCAATTTTGAAATGATTCCTACTAGACCAAACCTTAAGAAATTAAGACACAATCGCCTTATTTCAAACCTTAAGAAACTAGACCAAACCAAACTCCGAAGTGATCCAAAATAAATAATACATTTGACCCGTGTGGATACACTTACACTAAATAAACCATTATCCGGTGTTTAGACCCGATCAGAAGCCGGCCATAGATCCAATTCAACAACTCTTCTTTTATGATAGGGTATAATCTATAGGACTATAGGTGGACAAGTGAAAGCCTAAATGAGTTTCAACATTATAACATGGGCTTGTCATAGATCCTAGCAAATTTTGGTCCATGAAAAACAACATCCAATTAAAAACCCAAGTCTTTCAAATTCTATCTCTTTACTTCCAACAACAAAAAATGGCTAACATATAGAAAAACAGCAGCAGAATCAGCAGCAAAGAAAGAAGAAGAAGAAACAACTGAAAAGAAGAAGAAGAGAGAAAATGACTCATCTTCTTCTCCTACACCAGCTCCCTTACTTCCATTCATTATCATCATCAAAGTTGTTTTCAATGGGGAAATCAACGGTAGGATTGTGCACCCACAGGAACAGTTATCGTGTACCTGAGCAACAGAGAATGAAAACCATAAAGTGTATGGCAAATCCAAGAAGAGTAGCAATGGTAGCTAAACAGATAAGAAGGGAACTTTCAGATATGTTGCTGACCGACACCAATTTGCAATACGCTGTTCTGCCCGAAGCTGCCCTCGGTGCTGACCGTTATCTCTCTTCTGTTACTACCATTAGTGATGTTGAAGTTTCCGCAGATTTGCAGGTCTTTTCTTTTAATTGGGATTTTTTTTTTTCCCCTTTAATTTTGCCCCTTTTTGGTTGATTTTTGTTTGGAATTTCTGGGTTTGTTAGTTGTGAAATGTGAAATGTTTATGGTTTGGTTGATACTTGATAGTGTTTTGTGATTATTGGGTGTGGGTCTGAAGGAATTTAAGTTGCTATTCAAGTTACAAGTATATGCATTTTGTTGTTTATGCTTTGCATTGATGAAGAACAAGGGTTTGAGGATAATAATGCTAGTTACTTTCTCCAAGCATTGTACTAAATTTGTGATGTATTAGTGAAAAATGACCTATGGAACTGAAAATTGGTTACTGTTGTCGGGTATGGGTGCTTGAGCAGCTGTATTGTGCGGCTGTGTTGTGTGAATTTTGCAAGTTTGGGTCAGAAAAGGAGTTTTAATATCAATGCCTATGTTGGAATGATGAATATTTAAAAGGGGTAATTTGAGGTATATTGAAGAGTCTGAGTAATTTGGTTTGATGATGATAACCTATAAGCTATGGGATCCTAGTTTCTGAAGCATGTTTGTGGTTTTGCTTAATGTTTAGTTACTTTTTGCGCATTAGATGTAATAGTCCAACTATCATGAAAATTGATCATAGCAAGAAAGAATTGTTGGTAGAAATTGTCTCGTATGGACGCATGGTAAACATCTGCAAAGCCTCACTGAGTCTTGTGACATTATCTACTCTACATGGGTTCCTAAGATCCTAGCTTACATCAACTTATGTATGCTCGAAACTTGATAGGAATTTGCTGTGTAAGCTTGATTTCCAAGTAACTCGTAGTTCTTTTACCTTGGATAGATTTTCACCTTAATGCTTCTGCATTTATATACTTTAGGGCTGAAGCCATTTCAGTATTGGTTAATCCTTTCTTATTAATTGTGTCAAGGATATATGAGATGTTGTGCACTCTGTTGGTAGATTCATAATTTGGATTGGTCACTTCATATTTTGTATATAAAAAATCTTTGGTGCTATCTTATGGGCCAAAAAGTTTCCAGTTAAAAAGTTATTGATCTCCTGATGTTTGAGCTCCATCATAAGATTCATTAATTAACTTGTCAATTGCATATCAGATTTTTCATCAGATTCAATCGCTAATCTTCCTTGACCTTGCTATATAAACTAGGAAACTAACTATATTATTTTTTCCGCTCCTTGTACAGTTTATTGGGTCTGGCTTTTGGTTAAAAGCAATCTCTTTGTTGCATTGAACAACTTTCATGCTAATCATAAGCACAGAAACTTTGAGCTGTTACAATAATGTTTGCTGTAAATTGATATTGTTTCTTTATATTCTAGGTTGTCAAAGTTTATGTGTCGATTTTTGGCGATGAAAGAGGTCGAGAAGTTGCCCTTTCTGGCCTAAAAGCTAAGGCAAAATATGTGCGGGGTAAACTTGGAAAGCGCATGAAGTTGAGGCTGACTCCTGAAATTCGATTTCTAGAGGATGAATCTTTAGAAAGAGGAAGTAGGGTAAGAGCTCAAATTTAGTTATGTTCTTACGTGTTATCCGGCCATCTGGTGAATAATTTTTAAGTGCCTTCAAACCTGGTCTTTCTTTACTCTTGTTTAGATTCATATTACCCTATCGATGGTAATATTCTTTATAAGTGTAAATGTGAGCTGGGTATCTCTTTATATTATTGCTTCAGACTATTATGTATATAAAGACAAGGTTGATGAATGAAGCTGTTCTGAACTGAAAAATAGATAAGTGGCAGTATCTTGATAGGTTATTTCATTCTCAGATCTTAATTGGTGATAATCTTGCAAGAACATCTTATAGAGCCTAGAGGAAAATGTGAATAAGGTTGGTGGATGGGTTCTATGAGGTCATACACATGATATAGTCACATAATCACATCCCCCTACCTTGCTGGATGATTATACTTTTGTCTTTAATTAAGTATAGTTTTACCTCCACCCTTTGTGGTGTTGATTATTTTGGCAGGACAACACAAGCATAGCAATGTTCTAAATCTTGAATTTGACTTTTCAGGTTATTGCGATATTGGATAAGTTAAAGAATGAGAAAAATGATGCCACAAGTCCTGAAGAAGAGGAAGAATTATCCGATCCACCTTCTGATGATGATAATTGGGAGGACGACAATGATGAAGGCATTATTTATGTCAGATAGATATTTCTTGAGATGTGGTGATGCTTCAACTTTGCTCCATTGCCATCAGGTTAGGTCTCTCATTGAGTTTGTGTCCATTACTGCTTCAGTTGGACCGAACAAGGTTTCTGTTGTTCTCAAAATAATCTTTCGTGGTTAGTGGCTTAGTGCTACAAAGATCTTCAAATTGATTACATCTAGTATTACAATGATGATATTCTGACCAAAATCAAACTTTAACTGTAATCTTATTCTAAATACTACCATTAGAGGAAAACAGGGTTGCCTTAATACCAAGGATTTAGGGGTTGCATTTAGTTGGGACTTGGGAGAAAAATCATTTTCAAGATCAAATTTCCTATTTTCCTTGGTTTGGTTTGTAAAGGGATACTTTTTGAAGCTTTTTTTTTTTTAGTTTCCTCAAGGATGGACAATATTTATCTTTTATAAAATTTTCTCTCTACTTCACCTTCCTCCCCCCCTCCCTTCCATTTTGTTTTTACCATTTCTCTCTCGGTGTGTGTGTGTGTGTTAATCAAGGACCAGAACAAAGAAAAATGACATGGAATCTGATTTCTATGGAAGATAATTAAGATTCAGTTTAAGATGTATTCCTCTGAACTGAACACACCCTTAACTGCAACTTCGTACCATCTATTGGCTCCCAACTCTTGTTTTATAGGGGCGAGAGAGGGGCTGAGAGAATTTGAGACTAAACAAACGAAAAGCTTGTTCAATTAGATCTTCATGAGAAACTCTGAGATTGCTTGAAACTCTGACAACCCAGGTCAGGTCTCTTAGTGAGAGGTAGCTTGAACTCCGGCCAACCAGGTCAGGTTTCTTTGTGAGAGGTATATTGAACTCCAGACAACCCATGTCAGGTTTCTTGTTTAACAGTTATTGAGTAAATGATTAAGAGAGCACCAGAGGAGTTCTTTAATATACCCACTTTTCTTATGTTAAAGTGGTAGCCTCAAGTGACTTGCATTTGGGTTAAGTAAATGAGGAACTAATGAGTGATCCAGAAAGCAACCGAGGAAGTTCTGCAAAATGTCTTTGTATTTTGTCATGGTTAAAGGTTAGTCTCAAGTGACTTAAATAAATGAAGCAAATTTAGTGTGAAAGGTTTACATTTTTGTTTGAGCGGAAGGTTTTCTTTTTTGTTTGAGCAAAACATGTTCTTCGGAAGCACTGTGTTTTTTTTTCTGGATACTACAACCTTGACAATTGTTTCGAAGTATCCGTTACATTTTGTTTTTATTTCCACATTACCTCCCCACTTTTCCATTGCTACTTCCTGAATTTCTCGCTGTGCCATACATTTTGCAGGGCCGCAGAGAATGATTCCTGCAATAGGAGGCTTTCCATAAATGTCTTGTGGCTAAAGGGGCTTTTTGCATACAGTTGTGCTTGCATCTGTGACAGTGAAGTTAGCCAGAAGTTTGATTAAAGCATATCTCAATATGTAATTCCTAGCAGAGATGGTTCAAAGGCGTGGCAGTGATTTGCTAACAACTTGCAAATGAAATGCCCCTGTAAATAAATAGAGCCTCTAATGAATGTTAATTATAAGTGTTATGCCTCTGAATCTCTGATAGTCTGGTTTTTTGCTTAAAATGTTGAATAATGATTAGTTTCTCTTGTTCAACTAGATTTTTTAATGTATATTTTTTTTCTTTCAATTTTGTATATATATATATATATATATATATATATTTTTTTTTTTTTTTTTTTTTTGTACTTCATACTAAAAGAATGCATTTATAAGTCTCACAGATTTGCCACTGGTTTAGTATTATATCTGTGCCTCTGGTGTTGGTTGGTGAGAACTTTGTACAAAAATATGGAGCTTCAGTAAGCAATATGACACCACTCTTTTCAGGACAAAAGTACTTGATAAGATGGCACCATTACACATTTGCACCAAACTTCAGCCCTAATATATATGTGACACTTGATTAATGAGTAGCCATTGTGCTAAATGCCCATAACTATCCTTTTATTACTCACATAACAATGAGTTGATCTTGCAAAAGCAAGTGTAATAAGCTCTGATTTTCTGAACAAAGTTATTTATTCGACAAAATTTATCTGACAGTAGAATATGTATCACTCTTCACAGTCAAAATAACAAGGCCAAGCAAAAAGCTCAGGAAAAGCAAGAGTCAACAGCCAAGTACATCTGAGCACAAAGCAAAACAATTTATTAATCAAAATTTAGTGAAGATAAAATCATCTCAATATGATGTTTTCATTTGAGCAACTAAAATCAATTTGTTGTCATTATGTTGATGGTCATTGAGCCACAAAATTTTGTAAATAAGAACATGCACAACTACGAGTATCAAGGTCTACAAAAGCCTCTTGGTGAAGTGATAAATCGACGAACTTTTTATGCATCCTTCCCCTCAGCATTTTATCCCATCCACTATCTATCAGTGATGGGCCTCTGCCTGGGCTCCTGCCTTAGCTTCAGCTTTCTTATGTGACTTGGCCTTCATCTGATGAACAAAGGACAATAGGTTCAGAAATTTGCTAAATCCTATATCCACACAGACAAATAAAAGGAACATCTTTTTTGCAATGATCATTGTTAAATACTAGTGTCAAATACTATAATCCAAATCCAAAATACAGAACCGAATGCATGAGTGGAACATAGGGAAGTATTAGCAAGTATGAGTAGTGCCACAGCACGCAGCTCCTCATTTGACAATATAGTTAGCAATGCACATTTGAATGGCCATCAATGAGGTGGTCAGTCCGTGCTTTGCTTGAAAGAAGGGGAGTATTCTCTGGGACAATTTCCTTTTTCCCCCAGTTTGGTATAGGGAGAGAATCAGAGAATACTTTATTCCCCTAACTCAAAGAAGGAATGCCACATTTCCAACAACTGCCTTAACTCTTTTTCTTCTTCCCTCCATTCCTTTTTGCCATCTTCTTTCACTCTTTCCTCCTCAACATTTCTAGCAAGTAAAATGAACTTAAAAAGTTGATTTCTATTGAAATTAATTTCCACCAAATACAAGCTGCCCTCCACAACAAACCTAAGTCCCAAAAATTAAGTATTCCCTCTGATAACATAGAAGCAAAGACTAAGCACGGCCGTGTCATGCAAGTTATCATCCTCGTGAAAAATTCATTGACCATGAAACTCATGACAATTTAATACACAACAAAATACCACAGTAAAAGCGAAAAATTAAAATACAATACAGTTATAGAAATCAGATATGCAAGATCAATCCTGAATGATACTCTACAAATATGAAGGTCACTAATAGGGCAGCAAGCCAGCAACCAATCTTAATATTTGCAACTGATGGAGTGTGCGTCAAGGCAAGAAAAAGAGCGAGTCAAGCAAGGGAAACAGAGCTTCACAAATTTCCCCATGATCAAATACAATATCTTTAAAAAAAGCAAAGTGAAACGGTTGTGACCTCAAATGAAGCACATTCCTACCCAGAAAACTTTGAAATGGTACACTAAATTTGAGTCATATTATCAATTCAACAAGACAAACTCTCATAGTTCGCAATTCGAGATACGAGCAAAGTTCAAAGACAACAGAATAGCAAACCACAGATCACACAGGCATTTAACAGATGATTAATACAAAACATAATCCTTAAATCCCCCTTTAATTGATACAATAACAAAATCACCAATTTCGTGCAACATTTAAAGAAGAATAACAGCATCAACACAATTCAATAATAATAAAACCCAGATCAGTTTTGAAATTCAGTCATCAAACATCCATAAACCTAAATCAGATCTCTCCACATTCTGGCAAATGAATAGTGCATATCATCACACCAAAAAATCAAATAAAATAACAATTAACCTACAGAAAAATGAAACAAAATTGACCTTGAGAACTTTGAGCTTCATGTTTCCGTAGACCAATCCAGCAGTGAAAGCTGATGCACGAGCTACCTAAAAACCCCAAAATTAAGCCAAAAAAACCCACAAATTCCTCTTCAAAACCCTAAATTAAGAAGAAATACAACAAGAAAATGAATGAGAAGAAATTGAGTAGATTTACCAATGCGAGAGTGCTAGTGCCACTGTAGAACTGAGGAAGTGAAGGTGCCATTGATCTGAAAGAGAGAGACTGAGAAAGAGGGAAGATCTATATTGAGGAGAGAGAATTTGCAGGGAAAACCCTAAATTGATTTCGGAGAGGAGAGAGAAAGAAGAAGGGTGTGACCGTGTGAGTGGGTGGAAGAGAGGTTTGTTTCGGTGAGTTGCTTACGTCATGGTTGACTTTATTGGGCCTGACTACTAAATTTTTGGAGCTTGGGTTTATAATAATGGTTTGTTTCATTTAATCGGGTTTTATGGGTTGACCCGAATTATATGACCCGAAAACTATTCAAAATTTAAAAGTCTGAATTGTTTTGACCCTACCTGAATCTAATTGATTTGAAAGTTTGTGTTTTTGTTTTTGTGGGGAAAAATTGACTAACCTAGAAAAAGTGCGGGTTTGAACGGATTGAACATGTATTTTGAGGCCAAAGAATGAACTCGGCTAGTTGACTTGAAATGTTTGTATCAATTTTGCGAATTTGGGAATGGAACTATGGACTAATGAATATTATAATTAAAATAAGAGTTGATGTTTGATCAATTTGAAGAAAAAACTTACTTTTGAATAATAATTTACATGACTCTGCCATTTGATCTTAGTTAGTATTTTGACTTGTAGAAGATTACTAGGAAAATTTGTAAATAACCACCCACAAAATAGACCAATTTTGATATAACCACCCAAAAAATAATTATTTTTAAACTACCACCCACTAAATTAAAAAAACGCTCAGATTACCACCCAAATTGTTTTTCCGGTGAATTTTTGGATTGTGGACCCCACTCAACGGCTAGTAACGACTAGTTTTTGGGTTTGTAACTCATTGCTTCCCCGATTTTCTGCCATTAAACACTTCTCCATAGTCAGAAACCATTTTCTTCTTCAAATTTTCACAAAATTTCACAAAAAACGCTTCCCCTAATTGCAAAAGCATCCACAAGAAAGACTACAGGTGATTTGCGCTTCAGGTATTATCTTTGCCTTTTAAAAATTGCAGGATTCATCAACTGTAATTGGGGAATAAATGGGGGATTATTTACTTAGGGTTCTTGTTGCCCTTGAATTGGGGAAAATTGGGGGATAAGTTACTTAGGGTTCTTGTTCCAAGCGCGAATTAGTTGTGTTATTTCAACAATTATTGATTGTTAGTTAGCTTGAATTGGGGTTTCTATGATTGATTGTTAGTTAGCGTAGGTGTAATTGAGTTTGCAATTGATTTATTGACGTACTGTTTTGATTGTTTGCATGATTTTGTTTTGAGCTTGTATGATTAATTGTTGTTGGAATTGTTGTGGCAGAAATGGAGGAGAATAAGGTGGTTTTCAGATTTAAGTATCTGAGTGTTGTTATTGACATTGAATATGAAGTAGGAAAAAGTAACTTGTTGGATACAACAATAGAAATTGAAGATAGACTTCGCGAAATGGAAGACCCTGTAGAAGGATCAATTGACATTTTGCACCCCACATTTCAGTATATTTATAGAGGGAAGTATAGGAATTTAGAGGATGATGGTGATGTGTTCAAGATGATTAGGAGGTTACCTAATAAGGACATGTATACCATACATGTTGGGAGCACAGATGACCCAGGCTTCTTGGCTGATTGTATCTTGGAGTACAAGATGAAACAAAATGGGACATGGCCACCCCCTAGTTATCCTCATTATGGAGGCCAACCACAACAATGACTATGACTAGGTGTAGTTGAAATAGATGTGTATAATATGTTGTGTAATGGAACTGGTTGTTGAAGTTGACATTTGTTATGGTATTTGCAGGTTGGAAGATGTCCTGGAATAACTCATCTCCCACAAACCAGAAGAAATGCAATTGTGGATTGCCTCTTTCAAAGCTGACATCTTGGACAAGGGACAATCTAGGGAGGAAATTCAAGGCTTGCAAATTCTATGACCCAGTCACTGAAAGTAGGGGATGCAAGTGTTTTGAATGGGTAGACAGTGATGATGGAACTGAGCGGCAGAGAGATGTCATCAACCAACTTCTCCTTGACAAAAAACTGATGAAGGGTGAAATTAACTCACTGAAGAGGGAGGTTGATGACTTGACTGGCCAAAGAAGGTGTTTTCTAAATGAGGTTGACAATTTGAAACTGAAATGCAAGGCCCTAAGTGGTGACAAGAAGAATATGATGAGCAGCAATGGGAATTCTGACAACAAGCTCATGTTTGTTGTACTTGTTATGTGTTCTCTTTTTTTAGTCTTAGGTTCTGTTGTAATTCTTAAAATGGTATAAGGGGGAGATGAAGGCCTATTGTAATGGTACTATTATGCTGTTGTGGACTGAAATGTAGTAAATGAAATTGTTAATAAAAGAGTTGTTTTGCATTGAACATTTGGTAAAGTCAAATTCATATCATTAACATTGTAACAATGCCATCCAAATAAACATTGTAACACATTACAACCATTAACATTGTAACAATGCCATATAAATGTCATAAGATTATCCTCAAAACATTGTGCACTTATCATCTAACACTAACAAACAAAATAGGAGCAACATTCTGCTTAGTTCCTAGGTCTAATTACATGCAGCTTGGCTCTTGGTGGCTGTTGTGTTTGTTCAGTTGCTGCAGCTGTTGTGGATGATGAGGGAACTGGTGCAGAGGTTATGGCAACTGTATTGCTTGAAGCTTGACTGTACTGAGGCTGCTGCTGCATCTTCTAATGCCCTTCTCGAGGGAAGCTCTTGGAACCAATACTATTTGGTCCAGGGGTACCACCAACTGCACTATGTAAAGAACACAAAGTAGATTTAAGTTAGTTTGTTGTTGTCCATACTCCAAAAACCACAGCTCAGCATTTAATAAAAGGAAAAGGCATTTTTACCTTTTTCAAAGCTCTCTCTGCCCTCTTCCTTCTCTAGTCAGTCACCCAGTCAGTGTTCAGAGGTGGTCTTCCTCCTTCTTTCTTTGGGGAAGAGACAACAACTGGTGTGGCAGGAGGATTTTTGCATGTCTTTGCATAGTGTCCAAGCTGCCCACAGTTCTTACAGGTGCTCCTCCTTCTGATGGATTGCTGGACATCCTGGTTTTGCCCAGCCAATTCTCCCTGCTCCAACTTCCTCTTCTTACACTTAGGCCTCCCTGGTTGGATTTTGATGGCTGGTGGTAGTGGTTGCCTCAGCTTAACCTTTTCCCAATGTTTTGGACCAGGCATAGCTGCTACCTCAAGCCTATATGCCAACATGTATGTGGACACAAGGTAGGCACTGTCCACATAATCTTCAGGGTCTGCCCTTTTGTCCATGATGCATGCATATGCATGGACACAGGGGATACCAGTGAGGTCCCAATGGAAGCAGGTGCATGTTGCCTTGCTCAGGTCAACTGTGACTAGGTCAGAGTTAAGCTCCACCTCATAACTGTCACCCCTAGACACTTGCACAATGCAGTGCCTTGCAGCTGGTTCTATCCTTTGGAATGTTTTCTTCACATAAGGAACAACCTTCCCTTCCATTTTCAGAAAACTTTCCCATTTGTCATTGTTTCTTTTCATCATGTACCTCCTAAGCCACTCCATTTGAGTCAATATAGGCTTATCCCTCGCTTCTTTGATAACAGCATTAAAAGTCTCACAAATGTTGTTGAGCAACATGTTTGACTTTGGGAATGTGCTGAATGCATGCCTAGACCAGTGCTTAGCAGGAATGACAACAAGATATTCATAAGCTCCCTCAGACAGGAACCTTATTGACTCCATTACTACCTCAAAGTCAAACTACAATAAGAAAGGGAAAGATAAAAACTTCTAGAATCAGAACACACACACTCACAAATGCATCATAGATGTAACAGACAACATTACATAACAGTGCAAATAGGAAGCTTACCAATGTTGTTGCCTTTGCTGCTGACCAGAACAACTCCTTAAAAGTGGCTCCACTAAACTGTAACTTGAAGTTAGCCCATATATGTCTGACACAGTACCTTGTGTCTGCATAAGGGACAACCTGGTGCAAAGCTTCTAACAAGCCCTGTGCACACATCACATATAGTAAATAAGTGAACTAACTTCACAATTACATTCATAAATCACAAAAAAGTTGTGGATGTATGTGTACCTTTTGCCTGTCAGATATAAATGTATATCCTAGGCCTCGATCTTCATCCCTTAGGGCTTTCATCAGGCTCTCAAGGAACCAAACCCAAGTTTCAGTATTCTCTATTTCAGTTGTAGCCTAGGCTATAGGGTAAATATTATTATTGCCATCCTTACCAACTGCAACTAATATCTGACCAGGGTATGGACCTTTGAGATGACATCAATCCACCCCAATTACTGGTCTACAACCAGACAGAAACCCTTTCCTCAATGGTGCAAGGCATATGAACATTCTCATGAATAATGGGGGCTCAATCTGCTCTAATTTATCAACCACAACATCACATTCAGTGCCAGGGCTGTATTGCATGAGAGCCTTCCCATAGTCCCACACTCATGCATATTGTTCTGCTGCTGATCCATAAATCATGAGCTTAGCCCTTGCCCTTGCCATCCAAGCTTTGTTGTATGTAATCCCTATGCTAAAATCACCTAAAACCCTCCTTATGAAGCCTTTTATTTTCCACCCAGGATCACTTCTCCAATCCTCAATGTATTTCTCAGCTAAAAATTCAGCAGTAAGGTTCAGATTGCTTCTAACCCTTAAATAGTTATGGTTTAAATTCACACTCTTAATTTGCCAATACTCTTGGTTCACAGCCCTCCTTGTAACAACCCTAAAATGACATCTCCACCCCCCAACACAAGTACACAAAGGCAGCCTACACTTCTTTTTATTCCATTTGCATTGACACCTCCTTCTACACTGGATAGTTACTTTTGTGCTATCATTGTGCAAAAACCAACTTCATACCTATTCTCAATGGCATGAAGCTTTAGAGCTTTCCTCAGCAATTTGTTGTTGAGGAACTTCAGTCCTTTTACCAATTGAATAGGCTTTTTCAAATCTACTGAGGCATGGAGCCATGGACATTGTTCTTGCTCATCATCTGAATCTCTAGGGCTTTCCAACTCCTCTGAATCAGAAGTAAAGTCTCCCTGTGCAGAAATTTCTTTGCTCAACAACTCAGTTTCAAGCTACTCATCATTGTTCTCCACCTCATATTCAATCCTATCTTCCCCACACTGTAGACTGGCATTCACTTCTTCAATTATCTGAGTTACAGTGTTGTCAACACCTTCATCTATGTTAGCATCCTCAAATCCCCCCTCCTCTTCCCTAGCTTCCCACTTTATGTCAGTGTCAAGGTCTTCAGAACTTGAGGAACCAGATCCAGATTCTGATTCCACCTCAACCTCTCTCTTTGTCTTCCTCTTCCTTTTCCCCTGTTTTTTCCCCTTTCCCTTTCCCTTTCCCTGTCCCTTTCCCTTGACCCTATTTCTCCCAGATGTGCCTTGCTCTTCACCTTGCTTTTTCTTCCCCTTCACACTTTCTGAGAACAATACTTTTCTTGTTGTTTTGTCAGTGTCCTCAACAAACTTATGCCCCCCCTTTTTGTTGTTTTCTGTCTTCTCTGTATTTGGCAAGGGCTGCTTAAACCATGGGCTTCTCCTAACTTCAGTGGGCTTAACACCTTTGCTTTTACTGTTTTGGGTGGGCTGAACTACACTGGGTTCTTGGTCAGTACAATACAATATAGCAAACCCAGCCTTAGTCTTTGTCTCCAAAAAACCCTTGACATCATCAGCACTCAAAATTTCCTTTTTACCATTTGACCAAGTCTTCCCCTTTTGTTTATACCACATACTCCACTTGCTTGGCACATGCATATCTAATTTCACAAACCCCCAAATGCAAGTTTCCCTAAGTAGGTTCACTAACATCTCAGTAACTTTGCACTTATACCTTATACCTCCAATAATCCCGCCCACCCTCATACCCACACAAACTCTTACCCCTTAGTTGTTTGTTCACAAACACACCCCCTAATCTAACCTTAACAGTTACCAATTCAACATCACCAGCAAGCTGTGCATATAATTAACCAATATTAAACACAGCAACAATAAACAAACCAGCAATCAACAATACAACAATAAACAAAGCAGCAATGGACAAAGTAGTAGTAACAAAAGCAGTGGGTTGTGGTACATAGCAGCAACTAATAAATCCCCCAATTCACTGTCCTATCCACATACTTAAACAATTCAACAATAACTACAGCATAATTGACCTACATTAAATAATTCAATCAGGTAAACAATGAACCCTAACTTTCTACATAATTGCAATTATACCATCAACAACCAACAGCTGTCAAAATTAAAGTAATTCAACTAAATTGCTTACCTCTGTCGACGCCATTGTTACTGACTGAAACTACTGATCTTCAGCAAACACACCAAAAATGTCGAATTTCCGCAAAAACCAAGGAGTTTTTCCTTTACAGAACAAGCACAAAGTTAAGGTTTATTGGAAAAATTAGGGTCTCTTTTCGAAGAGTTGTTGATAATGTAAAAGAGGGAGGACAGACAATCAATCAGTAATTTTTTGAGGATTTTGCCGAGAATTTTTGAAGAAAATCAAAGAGGAACAGGGTGAAGATGATTTCAGTTGCATGAACATAGAGTGCAGTCGAGATAGAAGGGAAAAAAAGGAGGGAAATAAATTGGGTGGGTTCCACAATCCGAAAATTCACCGGAAAAACAATTTGGGTGGTAATCTGAGCGTTTTTTTAATTTAGTGGGTGGTAGTTTAAAAATAATTATTTTTTGGGTGGTTATATCAAAATTGGTCTATTTTGTGGGTGGTTACTTACAAATTTTCCAGATTACTATGCCTACTTGGAAATCCTAGGGAAGCTATTGAGGTTGAGGAAGTTACCTTCAACTAGAAAATATTGTCATGAGTCTTGATTCGTGAACTTGATTTATTAAGACAAATTGTAATGACTTGTTTTCCTTCACACTTCATTCCTGATTATAACATCCACTCATATTTCATACTTCGTATATTGTATATCAATATATCATATACTTCGTACATTGTATGAACTCAAAAGCTACAACACAGAAGCAGCATATATACTAAATCCGAGTACACAAATTTAGTACGCGTACAAAATATAAACTTCAAATAAAGCTATATACTATTGGTTCAAGTTTCAACAACACATTTGTTAGCTTCATTACAGCCCTTGCGCAAAATACATAATTTGGAAGTTCCAAGGAGTGCAAAGGAAATGTAACTAGCAACAGAAGCAAGGCACAGCTGCACAAGGCTTCGTAAAATGGTTAAAATTAAGCTCTATTATTCCGACAGTAATGGTAGAACAGAATTATAATGTAGTATACATCAATAAAATAATGTAGCTGCAACATTTGTTGCTATTTTAATTATGTAAACAACATGATGAGCTATAAATCTTGATGTACAAGTAATGGAGCATAACCTGCTAGAGTGCTCTAATATCAGCCGTTTTCTGTACTGTCATAGGCATTAGATTTATGTTTTGGTGCAAACTTGAAGTCGGGAGGAACCTTGCCAAGCAACATCTCAGAGATTCGAATCTGCAACGAAATGACAATAAATAAGAACACATCAAGATTTATACACGGCTTTATCAAATCAGCAAATAGCTAGTCACTGACCCAATCAGCTGCAGATTCAGAAGCCATTAGTGTCTCCAGGTCGTTTCGACCATAGTATGAAGGTGGACGCCAATTAATTTTTTGTGGAATGACGTCAAGCAAACCAACTGGGATGTATCTAAAAGTATAGCTAAGCCATTGCAACAAGAAGAATCTTGTAGTCTCCACTCCTACACAAAATATTACAAGAATTTAGTTGACGGGATATAGTAAAGGCAGAACACCAAATTCCATGCGATAGCCTACAGAGTTTCTGTTTGTACCAAGCTCAATATCTGTTATGAAGATTTACTTGAACAATGTCAAAAACTAAAACTTCGACATTTAAGGCTTCTCTTCATACGTTTTGCTTCCCCTCTTTGTAATGAAGCTAGCTTTATATCTAATACGTTTGGCAATTGTTTTCAGAATCAATGGGAATCTCAAAGAGAAGAACACTCTGGCTCCATATAGTTTAAAAATTAATGCTCGAGAGAGCACCAATTCAGCAGAAGGAAAGTGAAAGATAAACTTGGATTGTCTAAACAGCCTACTCTTGTTGGAGCATGCTTTAATAGCATCTACTGCCTTCTTAATATTAGACATGCACATATGATCACTACATCTATGAGACTGAATATAATTCATACAAGACCCAGGCTATGATAACAGCTTATACCAACCTTTTGAATCAGAACCCCAGTGCTCAAGGCCAAAACGTACATAGTCTCTTAGTATATCTAGTCGTTCACCAGAACTGATATCCCAATGTCTTTGTTCTTTAATCTCAGTGAATAGCCATGGCTGCAATGCAAAGAGAAAGGTTTGAGGTTTACAGAGCAAAAAAAAAAAAAGCACCAACTTTCACGTATCAATTACATGAGGAGCAAAATGAATGTTTACACAAACCTTAACCAAAGCCCCTCGAGCGATCATGCATGAGGACAGCTCAGGGCAGTCAGAAAAATGTTTATTCCAGTCTGTATATGAAAAGACATCTCCATTTCCTAGCACTTGAAATGTACTAGGAGCTTTACTGACACATGTGTTTATGTAATCCCAATCAGCAGCTTTGCTATATCGCTGCTGTCGAGATCTCCCATGTATTGTTAGAGCAGAAGCTCCCCACTCATAAATTTGAGATATTAAAGAGTCAGCACGATTCCTTCCTTCAACATATCCTGTTCTAACCTGAAGTGTTGATTAAAAAAGAAATAAGATTGATAAGACAAACACTAAAAAAGGCAAACAAGAGGCGGATAGCAAAAGCAACCATGAAGAATTAAGTCAAGAACCAAAATTACTAACATAAGTGCCAACTGAACATACATAGCATTAAATATCAAAATCAAAAAGAGAATTTACAGAGACAAACTCCATCAGGCTACTGGAGCCACAACAAGATTTATCAATAGTAAAGAGTTCCTCTTGTATCCAATAGACAACCATAACAGAAGCAAGTAGTCACATGTATACAGGGCTGAAGAAGAGACATCAAGAAAGTACCTTAACAGTTATAGGTCTCTCTGCAGAAGCACAAGCTGCTTGTATAACATTTTTCATCCGCAATGGTTTTGTAAGAAGAGCAGAGCCGGCTCCCTTATTAACGACTAAATCAATTGGACATCCCATGTTGATATCAATAAAATCTAGTGAGCATTCTTGGTCAATAAGCTCAACAGCACGTGCTACGGTATCTGGATAAGCCCCACAAATTTGTACACCAAACAAATCCTCGGATTTATGTCGCCTAAGCAACGCCCATTCAGAAGCTTGGCCCTACATAAAATTTAATAAAAAAAATTTTTAAAAAAAATAAAAAAATCAAGGGTTGCAGAGCAAAGCACCACTTTGTGTAATAAAAACCACCTTTAGAAATATATTGGATGATTCAATGAAATAAAATCGAGAAGCATCAATGTTGATGTGAACTGCTAAACGTCGGTCCTAATTTACTAAGCATCGCTCACATTTTGACATGAAATGACGATATTGCCCTTACGATAACTTGGACTATATAATGATCCACTATGACACGTGGGCATTTTAATATCATTCCGACCCCACCACTAAGTACCACGTGGTTGAAAAAATTCCTGAGCCCACCACATCCAACCCCACGACATCTAACCCAAAATTATCGAGCCCACCACCAAAAATCCGATTTTTTTTTTAAAAAAAAATTTATTAAGCTTTAGCGACGGGTTTCGGACGATGGACGACGACAACGATCGTACACCTGAGATATCGTCAGAGGATTCTGTAAGTCCTCGAACTTTTTTTTTTTTATTTTTTGAAATGCAAACTTCCGCCTTAAATATCCGGATCCACCTAGGTCGATCCGCTTATAATTTCCGGATCTTCCATGGTGGATCCGGATATTCTAGGCAGATATCTAATTTTTTTTTTTTTTTTTTTTTTTGTATTTTATTGATTAATTATAATCAAATTTCTTAATGTAATCTTTGTATGATAATTATAATTTTTGTTAATGTTTTGATATGAGTTAATGTTAGTGTCAGTTAATATTAGTTAATGTTGTGATATTAGTCAATGTAAGTTAATGTTATGATATTAGTTAATGTGATAATATTAGTTAATATTGTAATAATGTTGTGATATTAGTTAATGTTGGAGAATTTTGTGTGTTTTCTTTTATTTTTATAGGATTTGGAGTTTAAAGACGGCGGTGATGGTGTGAATTATACTGTGAATTTTGTCACGGACACGTTATTTCCAACGTTTGATGAGGCAATTAAATGGGCAGATGTTGTTTCCATAAATGTGGGATTTATTTTGGTTAAATCATCTTACAACAAAACCAGCGACGGTAGGCCGTATTGATTTTTGAGATGTGATCGAGGACAGAAGAGGCGAAAAACAAGCCGAGAGATTTTGAGAACGCAATACGAAAGGACACAAAAACCAAAGCTAATGATTGTCCTTTCTACATGAAGATATATTATGAATTCATCACAAACAGTTAGAAGATGGGGGTTGTTAACGTTGCTTTCATTTTACTAGGCATCGCTCGCATTTTTTGTTTGAAATTTCGTATTTACCCCTCGTAAATAAATACTCATTTCTGAAATCACATTTTACTCTCATACTTCACTTTCATTTTATCTCTCTAAAATTTAAAAATCTGAAAATAAAAAAAAAAGTAAACAAATCCACATCCAACCACCAATCCAAGGAGGGGAGAAAGTGACGTACGGTGGTGGCACCGGAGGCGAACAGGTATGTGTTTAAATCGGAAAAAAAAAAATCGCAACACTGTACATCCGCCTGAAATTTCCGGATGAACCAAGGAGGATCCGGAAATTTCAGACGGATCCTCCTTGGTTCATCCGGCACATGTACCCATCCGCCTAATTTTTGTTGGAACTTAGTTTAATTACTTTTATTAATCTATATTATATAGCTACAACTGTTCGACCTTAGTGAAAGTACATAAATGAGTTCACTACCTAATTAATGCATCACACATGATCCTTCTAACTTCATATTGTTGATCTCATCCATCAACACTTGGCTCGTGGTGCTCGGTCCACCAACCTGCAATTGAGGGAAGAGGTGAATCTTGTGCAAGATCAAGACGGATGAAATGTGACCCACCAACTGTAGCGATCACGAACTCTCGAGCGGGTGCCCTAACCGTGTTTCGTGCCCGCAACGGTAACATCGTGATGCATGGCTAGTAGCAAGTTGGCACGCTGCCTACACCGGGAAGAATCACCTTTGCGTTTAACCAAGTAGCAGTAGAAAATAAATCTTAAATTGCTACCATCCAATGCGTGAATCAACCGCCCTACCTTCCCATCGAATACGCCCTGCATTCATCCAAACCCTTCTAATCCCGTAAATCCTTCCGTACAACATTGGATGAGCGGCGACCTCGTTTGCTATTGTTTCCCGAGCGGTAAACCATTGCGCTTGATCACCAAAGAAGAAGTCAGCCATACAACGAAAGCCACAGTTTCCATCACCAATGACATCCTTCCATGGCCGTGATGTAAGACAACATCGGTTCTGGAAGCAAGTGCAAATATTTGCATTGCATTGACTGATGTCACATTGATCTTCTGCACAAAATTAATGTTCATTTATTAGTACGCTACAAGATGAAATGCGTAATTCACAATAGGCGTGTAATTCACAAGTGCAAATAAGTGTAATTTCGTGACTCACCTAATGTCGTACCTGCTGGTTGTGTACCACGTTGAGTGTTTCGACGGTTTACATGTTCGAAATAACAAGGATCACGCCTAGTATCATTGTTACTCGAACGTTGGGGGTTTACATGTGGTTCTTCAATGATCCAGATGCAGCTCCTCTTAAATGATGCATGATACATTTCAATGTATAGCATGATCACTACCAATGACCTCATCAACCAGGGAATGAAAATGTGCAGCTTCCTCGGTTGAATCGTTAACGAACACAGGTATATCAACACCATCACCAATAACCAAGGTCTTCGAGAATGAATGAATTTGCCTGATATAACAAGCTTGAATGTGCAACTAGCGAATCGTGTATCTGACAAGCACATGGTAAACCATGGGTCACACGCATTGCACATCCACAACGCTCATACACCTGGTAACTCAACTCTCTCATCCGTCTCGTCTCATCATCAAGAACTTTCAAACAACGTTGAGACACTTTGCCATTTATACGTGACAGTGGCAATTGTCTGTACTTCTCATCATTTTTCGATCTCGATGCCTCTAAACCATTACGAATTGCAATGATCCGATTACCAATATGACAATGTACTCGGGCCCATACGGTATCCAAAGAACCTGCCGTTGATTCAGATTATAAAAAAAAACATTATGATTTTTAATTAAAATTACTAAAACGAAGTAAAGTCAACAACGACAACATTATAACAACGAACCTGTCGATGATTCAAACCACGTCTTCACTGCCGAATGTTGGTTCTCTAACTCTACAATTACTCGTGTTACCAAAGTGAAGAACTTGGTTCGTCCAAAATGTCATAAATTTGATTTTATGACAACGACATGTTCTCTCAACATAAAATAACTTGCCCACCGAGCGTTCATTGTATCTACAGCAGCATTATAATCCGTCTCGGTTGTAGCATCCATGATACGTTTCCATTTGCCATTTTTAAAACTCACAACAATCCTCTTATTTTTGAACATATCAGTCACCTTAGCCTCCATATCTTTGTTAATGTGCCATCGACAAAGTAAATGCGACGTCTCTGGAAACACTTCTCTCAATGCCGCACAGAGGCCAAGCTCCCGGTTTGACAAAAATACCGATGGTTCTTTATCATACCCAATCAACTCCCTTAATCTCTGCTAACAACCACCGATAGCTTGTCGTGCACTCGTTACGCATGAACACAATGCCAACGAGGAAATTCTGATTTGTCAAGAGTTATACCCACTATCTCAAATAACGGCATCCCGTATCGGTTGGTCTTGGATGAATGCAGAACATATTCGATGGGAAGGTAGGGCGGTTGATTCACGCATTGGATGGTAGCAATTTAAGATTTATTTTCTACTGCTACTTGGTTAAACGCAAAGGTGATTCTTCCCGGTGTAGGCAACGTGCCAACTTGCTACTAGCCATGCATCACGGTGTTACCGTTGCGGGCACGAAACACGGTTAGGGCACCCGCTCGAGAGTTCGTGATCGCTACAGTTGGTGGGTCACATTTCATCCGTCTTGATCTTGCACAAGATTCACCTCTTCCCTCAATTGCAGGTTGGTGGACCGAGCACCACGAGCCAAGTGTTGATGGATGGGATCAGCAATATGAAGTTAGAAGGAACATGTGGGATGCATTAATTAGGTAGTGAACTCATTTATGTACTTTCACTAAGGTCGAACAGTTGTAGCTATATAATATAGATTAATAAAAGTAATTAAACTAAGTTCCAACAAAATTTAGGCGGATGGGTACATGTGCCGGATGAACCAAGGAGGATCCGTCTGAAATTCCCGGATCCTCCTTGGTTCATCCGGAAATTTCAGGCGGATGTACAGTGTTGCGATTTTTTTTTTCCGATTTAAACACATACCTGTTCGCCTCCGATGCCACCACCGTACGTCACCCGGATTCGTCGCGGGTCCGCTATCGTCGGTTTTCTTCTCCCCTCCTTGGATTGGTGGCTGTTGGTGGTGGGTTGTGGATGTGTTTACTTTTTTTTCTGTTTTTTTTTTTTTTTTAATTTTCAGATTTTTTTTTATTTTCAGATTTTGAAATTTTAGGAGATAAAATGAGAGTGAAGTATGAGAGTAAAATATGATTTCAGAAATAAATGTTGTGAGTGAGTGTCGTGAGTATTTATTTACGAGGGGTAAATACGGAATTTCAAGTAAAAAATGCGAGTGATGCCTAGTAAAATAGGAGCGACGTTAAATAACCCCCATGTTGATATTTGTACAAAATATGCAAGTATCATGGAATACCAGCACTGACCTCAAGAAGATTTGTGCACATTGCCATTTCACCACATGTCACATCTGCACCAAAATCCTTGCAAACTCTGCGAAATGGAAGATTCCCAACAGTGGTAAGGGGTGCTAGATATAGCTTCCCACGGAAATCTATAAGTTTCCTTTCACGTGGCAGTAACTTTAAGCTGGCATCAGCTTCAAGAGGCAGGCAATTGTTTGTACTTGGTGGCTTATCTTCGGTAGAGTCCTTCACTAAACCTTCACCTGAGACGCTTGAACCTGTAGTTACAAAAGCATAATCAGCCATGCAAATTTAAACAAGATTTATAAAAATATAAGAATCAACCAGTAACATTCTCCAGGTACAACCATTATTTAAGTCATTGGAAGAATCTCTCTCATCATCACCAGATTTTGATTTCTTTAAGGGTCTTTTATCATCACTGCCCAATATGCCATCGTCCAATGGCTCTTCAGGAAGCACAGCAGATGGATCTTGTGTATCAGCAGAATCATACTTCTCACAGCCTTTATCCTCTGAACAATGGGATCCATTGGAAACTTTGGGAGCAATACTTTCTTCCTCTTCAGAATCTTTTACTCTAGTGTGGCCCCTCCCCTGTAAAAATAACAGCAGTGGGTTAAGTGGAGCAAAAGCACATACATGAAATATCATGGTATCACAATTCTCTAGCACCCTACTACAGTCTGTATATCATCAGCTTCTGCCTGAAAGAAAGTAGATTGTGTGCTTGCATAGCTGAAACTTGTTCATTTTCAGGTCTGAAAATACATGTATGCTTGCACGCCTGTGAGCAAGAGGATAAAGATATTAATCCAAACACTTACCCAAGGGGCTCCTGGCAAGTCACATGACACCAAGAGACAGTATCGTATCTACAAAGTCTTGGGAGGAAATATGAGACATAAATTCACACAGAATGAAGATTCTACATGTATATTGAAGGCAATTATGCACATGCCCAAATATGTATCCAACAATAAAGCTAATGATCAGGCATAACTTTAGCAGCAAGATTCAAATGCGCATTTGGCCAGTGTCCAAGGTTTAAAAATGTGGTAATTTGACAGTTGATTCACGAGCAGCCAAGCCACAAACAAGAGCTCCAAGTTTCTTTTTCTCTCTTCGAAGATCACAAAGTATATGAGATAGGGCAGAATTTGTGGCGGAAGCCAGTATTTAACCTCTAACCTAGAAAAACAAGTACAAAAGAAAAATTGATTCAATATTTAGCTCATACCTCTACCCCAAGCTGCTTGAGAGCAACATTGGACTTTGGGAACTTGATTTTATTCTTCCAAAGAAGCTTCTGGACATCTTTCTTCAACATATTCACTTCAGAGTCTTCCTTCAAAGCATCCAAATTATCATTAAGAACATCTTTATGGGTACCATAAAATCGGCAAGTCACCCCATAAGGACATGGCTTTTGAGCATAGATGAAGGGGCATTCTCCCTCTAAGTCAGCTGGTCTCTGCACCAAAAGGGAAAAGCCATAGTTAGCACTAAGCATCATTCCTTCAAATAAACATCCATACGAATACCCATACTAGATGATCACGGAAAAATTGTAAATAGATATCCCACTTTGCACTACCTCAATTTTGTAAGCTTCCAAGTCATGGCTAAAACGACATTTATCTCCATAATTACATGAACTAATATCTCCAGTCCTTGCAATCGCTGGGCAAAGATTCAGGGCAGACTTGAGTTTCTGTCCATATATGAAAAAATCAACATTTTTAGGAAAAACATATTTACTTAATCAGCACATAATATATATTTTCCGATTCATAACACTGTTCAGTAAGATAAAATGCAACCTCATTCAGAGTCACATTTGCTACCAAAACTCAAATAACCGATCACAAACCACTAAATCAGTACATAAAATATATTCCGATTCATAACATTATTCAGTAAGATAAAATGCAATCTCAATCAGAGTCACACTTGCTACTGAAACTCGAATAGCCAATAACAAACCACTTAATCAGTACTTACTCCAATTTACGACATTGTTCATTAAGATAAAATGCAACCTCAATCAAAGTCACTATTGCTACCGAATTTCAAATAACCGACAATAAACGACTTAATCAGTACATAATATACATTCCGATTACGACATTGTTCATTAACATAAAATGCAACTTCAATCAGTCACATTTGCTACCGAAACTCAAATAACCGATAACAAACCAAATCAACAAGGGCAAAATGCCAAGGTAATATGCAATAACCAACAATAATTCTATAAAATTGGTATCACTGTTGATTACAAATTGTAATTTTATACCTCGCGTCTGCATTTAACACCATAAAATGCAAAATAATATGCATGATTAAATATAACGCAATCAAGTATAATCAATTAAGAGATATAACCTCATGACGTTCACGCTTGAGCTGACGCTTGGACTTCTTTTCCACAACAACTCCACTACTTTTAGACTTATCAGATTTACCATTTTCATCTGAAGTTACGCAACGGCTAGTAGGCGGTGGTCGGAGAAATTCCTTCTTCACCGGAGCAACACCTTTCGCCATCAACTCCTCCGGTGAAGGTTGAGTACCGGTTGCTGTTTCCGGTTCAGATGGCGGTTCGTTGTTCTCAGTGTTTGTAACTTCGGGTTCTGACTCGTCCATGGCTGACTGAGTTAACTCGGTACTCGCAGGTTTGGTTTGTGACTCGTCCATGGATGTCGGAGATAGCTCGAGAGGGTGCGTGGTTTGACTGTTGGCAGGTTCGGTTTGTGACTCGTCCATGGCTGCCTGAGTTAACTGTAGAGGCTCTCTTATTTGAGAGGTTTATCTTTTTCTATTTTCGAGTTAGGGTTTTGCGTAAAGGCGTAAACAATATCAGAGTTTTTTTTGTTTCTTTTTTTTTTTACCCAAATTACTGGTTCCTTTAGTCTATTATATGAATTAAAACAAGGACAAATAATTGTTCAACAGTCAGGATGGCCGAGTGGTCTAAGGCGCCAGACTCAAGTTCTGGTCTTCGAAAGAGGGCGTGGGTTCAAATCCCACTTCTGACATAAAAATCCTTTTTTTTTTTTTTTTTTTTTTTTTTTTTTTTTTTTTTTTTTTTTTTTTTGGTTTTCTTGGTATTTCACTGGTACCTTCCACTTTGCTGTTATCTTTAGTTTTAATGTCCTCCACTGCCTTGATCTCTTCCCTTAATTACTTCAAAGATAAACGCGATAAAAGCTTTTATGTATTATGGTCTACATCGCATCAAAGATTCAAAGCTTTTAAATATCCCATAACTCTCTGCTATTACATTAGGCAGCTCATCAGTATTGTTTTTGGCCTCTTTGTTGCTTAATAATTCGATTAACTCCTTCCGTGTTTAACGATTGTACCTAAAGAATACTCCAATCCATGGTAAGCTCGTGTGCTTTTAAGGTTATTTTTATGTCAGCATCATTAAGAGTTTCCATAAGTGCTGCCACCACTGTCCAGTGTCCACGGGTTAGGTGTTGGCCCATATCTTGCAACTGTGCGTATAATACGAATTTGCATTGGTATTTCTGTAATGCTAGCTTATCAATTGGTCCTAATATCACAGAGCCTTGCACTCGAGTTTTGGGCAGAGCAAGGTTTGCAATCCAAAGAAATTTGTGCATCTTTTAGGAATGTTTTAAGAAGCATTTGTACACCACCAGTATCTCCTATATATGTGTATGTACATGCAGAAAAAGGCATGTGTATTGTTCATTTTTGATCTATTATCATACTTCTTCTTACTCGGCTTTGCATTAATCCTCGAAAGCAAAAACACTTCATAATATTATGAGTGGTTCTTACTTCGAAATTTTAGAAAGACAATTTATCATGTTTTACATCATCATCGTTTTAGTAGGCTTAGTAGCAGTCTTAAAACTTAGAAATAATTGCAAATTAGCAATATACATACATGTTATACAAGGAGGGGTTCCATATCTATTTATGGACTTACCAAGTTGGTACCTAAAAACTGTTCATCACTTTTGTTTTTCAAACATTAAGTAATGTCCAAATATTTCCATTTCAAATAATTTTGGATAATTAGTGCCCCATAATTCATATCTTAGAGATTGATTTGTTAGCATTTCATCTCTCATTTTCATTTTTGGGCATTTAGACAGTGTATGTGAGTTTGGATGAAACATTTGGGCTTGATTATTCAAGCCCCAACCAAGTTAATGAAAAAGGCAAGCCAATAAATAGGAATCAAGGCTTGTGAATTGTAATATACTAGTGATACTTTTGACTCTTCCTTTTCCAAACATGTCAACACCTCACAACCTCACTTCATAATGTTTGCAGCATATTTGAAAGACAGTCTAACAATTTATTGTAATAACCAAAAGGATTATTCATTTGATACTCGAATCTGACATGAAATAGTCATCATAATAACTAAGATAGATAAAGGTATTAGATTAGTGATCATAATACGGAGTAACTAAGATAGCTTGGGCTAAAACGTAGGTCATGCTAATAGAGCAAGATTAAGTATCGATTCCTTTGACCATCCATTAATTTCAAAGAAAACACATCAAGCTAAATACCTGTAAATTAAAAGTTATTTAAAATACAAATGTTATTATCTTCTTTTTTAGGTGTATAAAAAGTCGCAAAGAAAATTATTTTACGCAAAGTTCAAAGCTTATTTTAATTGCAACCCTTGTGTTTTACCAGTTAAGTAAACTCACACAAAACGTGTTCACGTACCTAAATATGTATTCCGTAACACACAAGTCTTTTAGAAACATAAAAGGCATAAGAAACAAATTAACAAAAGAAAAGGCAAAGAAGACAATTTCTTTAAGACTTTAAAGAGAAAGTAAACACTATCAAGATAACATCCAATTATATGTAAAAATGTTCACATTTAATAGAACTCCCTTAAAGTAGATAAGATCTAAGACATACACATAACTAGCTTATTTATAACTAATAATAAAGAAATAAGGGTGTTTATCTTAGTCATGAATCTCGTGATACAAATTAAAGAGGCCATGTTATGCTATGTTATGTTACACGAAACAAACTAATAATTGAGGCCATTGCACCATAATATTTCACCACCTCAACATTTTGATGTAGACTTTTCTTGTTGCAGAGGTTGAAAAATATTGATGGAATATAATTACTTTTATATAAATATAATAAAATATCTTTTGTGGAGTATTTTCAAGAAATGTGGGCCCTTAATTTAGGAAAAGACTTCATTGTGTTTCTTCTCGTCCAAAGTCTCATAATAATGTGTCATCACCTTCCACCCCTGCAAATTGGTCCTACTTACATAAATCTGCAATAATAATAATAATATCTTGCTCATCTATAATTTCTGATCAAACTAATATTCACATACAAGTTTGATAATTTATTACCTACTACATTAAACATCCTACAATCTTGCACATCTCTCACATATATATTGCCACGTGGTTTTCGAGATAAAAAAATCACTATGATCTCCGTAGTTCAGATCAAGGGTCAAGTAGAAACAACCTCTCTATTGTCGTGGGAGATTCATGTTCATCTGAGTTTAGACACCCTAAACACTACCATGTTGGGGTAAAAGGGTAATGATTAATCAATTTTACCATGAAAGTATAACATAACAGGCTAATTTAGCACAATGAAGAAGTTTTCGTTCCATTTCATACATAAAATAAATTTGAGTTTAACTGCAAAAAAATAAGAACTGGAAAATCCCACATTATGGCATCCGATTGCAACCAAAGCAACCTTACATTCAAAAACTACTCTATTGTACAGATAGTTGTGTAGCTACTTATCTCTAAAAACAAATTCTTTGTTTTGACATGCATGTTCCTAGATACGGTAAATAGAATGTATGATTTAGTAACTCTATGCAAAATGAATCTACAGCTAATTTACTTCGAAGTTTACAGTTTCTATGTTGATGTGAAATAGATAAATAAACGCAGAAAGAGCAAACTACAGATCAATGATTGAGCAAACGTAGGCTAAAGGTAGCTAGCGAGGCACTGAACACAAACCTATCTCGAGGTTAACAACCATTATTGCTTTGATTCACTCTTTGAATTTCCACCATTGTTCGAGTCTTGTGCTTTTGGCTGCTCCTGTAGTGAATTAGACTGTAACTTATTAAGGTTGTTTTGGCTGGATTGCTGCTGCTGCTGCTGATACATTTGAGGATTGACAAAAAGCTGCTGCCCAAAACTCTTGGATATAGACTCAGCGCTCAGCTCTCCTGTGGCTACCTTTAGGCGTTGGATTTCTGCTGTTAATGCTTCATTTAGAGCTGCCAAATAGATCAAAATCACATTAGATTTGATGCTATACATACTAATAAGAGCAGATAAACCCTTTATAGATCAACGAAAAATAATCTAACTACTAAAGCTGCAAAGTTTTAACACCAAGCTGTGATTCAGTCTCTTTTTTTTTCAAATTCTTACCTTTTTAATCCTTTAGTTATGAAAGATGAAGGAGGAGGATTTGTTCATATTAACAGAGATATGATGATTAAAAACAATTCCTTAACCAAAGACATTACAGGAATAGTTGAATAATTATCATATTGATGCAAATATAGACTAACAAATAACAATCCCAATAACTTATAGAGCAAACTGCTTTCAGAAACAGCCATATCCACATGAAATCTTACTGCTAACATTTCTAAATTGGAAATCATACCCTCACGAAGCTGAGCTTGTTGCTCCATCGCTTGTAGACGGAACTTCAGCTCATTGTTTTGGCTGGAAAGTCCAGAAGAATCCCTCTGTTCACAAAACAGAATTCAATCAAGGCCACACGAACCATATGCAAACGAGTACACATTTCAAAACCAGTAATTTCAGTACCTGCAATAATGTAAGCTGTGCAGACAAAGTTGTGGCTTCATTTTGTAAAGTTTGAACTTTGTGTTCCAATTCTGATATATATCTCATCTTCCGCTCCTTTGAGCGAGCAGCTGACTGACGGTTTGCCAAAATCCTGAAACGGCACATATAAAACACAAATCTGATTAAGCAATGATCTCAAACCATCACACCTTGAAACAAAACCATACATGATAACAGTATAGGATACCTTTTGGCACGTTTAGGGTCCGTTAAAGCAATCTCAGCTAACTTCTCATTTGCCATTATCTTCTTCAGTTCTGCCCCAGTAAACTCTCCGTTACCAAATTCCAAACTGAAGGCACTGGAATTTCCATTTTCAGGATCCTTAAGAGAAAGCTGGGCAACACCAGTACTCGGAGAAGGAGGTAGCTTTGGAGATTCATCACCGAAATTCATATTCCCAATGAAACTGTCCATCGAAATACTCCTGTAGTGTCTAGATGGCGCAGCCTCACCTACAGAACCCCTCTTTCGTTCACCAATCATTGGTCTTTGTCCACTGCTTCCACTCTCATTCACACTGCTTTCAGCTTCATTATCACTACTTTCACATCCATTCGTCTTGGAACCACTAGCGCGACTATCCAAATCATCTCGATTTTCATTACAATACTTATCATCAGTCCCGGAAGAATTCATAGTATCAATGTTGTCCAGATCCATATATGCGGAAAGGATGTCATCCACAACTTCACCTTCTACATTACCATCTCGCGTCTTATCCCAACTGGACTCCTTCTTAACTAACTGTGCCGGCTTGGTTGATCCCACAAACTCTCCACCAGACAAAGTCCTCTCTAAACCACCATGACCTCCTCTTGGATTAGGAGAAACCATTGGTGATGGCGGCGGAGATGATTGAAATATACTATCAAAACCAAACGGAATATCACTTATAGAACGCCTATGCAATTTCCGCGGTGGCAGTCCCTCAGTGATATGTGCCGAATTACCCCTGCCAGACGGTGGCAACAACGAATTGCCACCACCATCACGATTCTCCAACGAACCATTCGACAAATTAGTATTATCAGGAGCACTAGTAGGGGAAGTAGAGTTTTGGTAAGGCGACGGACTCAAAGGGGGCAACGAATCATTCATAAAAAAGGCCGGTTGCGACAACGATCGCGAATGAGACGGTCCACGACTGAAATTCTGTGAACCAGAGTGCTGAGACCCTGTTCTAGTCACTGGGAATTTTGAATAGGGTGACAGGGGTGGCATAGGAGGGTGAGATGGTGGTATCCCTGATTTTTTACCATTTTCGGAACCGAAATTTTGCAAATTCTGGGAATTTTGAGGTAAAGGGGGCCGGATTTGGGATATATTCAACTGAGCTACATCAAGATGATTACTTGTTCTTGATAAAGCCCCAAATGGATTTTGAAGTCTATGCATCATATCAATATTACCCCTTTCTGTATCACCCATTTTGGATTATAAAACCCTAATAACACAGATGAAAACCCCAAGAAATTAATAAATTTATCAGCTTTAATTTTCAACCCACAAAACCCCAAAACATCAGCTGAACCTCACTATCACACATAAACCTAAACCAAAAAAAAATACCCAACAAAATAAATTTAATTTTCTACCAAATAATCAAATACCCAGATGAAAAGAACAATCAATCGAGTAACCCAGATGATAAAAATCCAATCTTTTTCAGAAAACAAGAAAAATGAAAGAAAATAGAGTGAGAATGGTGGTAAGAGTAACAGTACCTAGCAGCAAAATGAGGCATAAAAAGGAGAGAGAAACAAAACTTAATGCTGCAACACCAGCGTAAGTTAGCAAAGAAGCGTCACTCTAGACTAATTTGCGCCTGATCGGAAAAAAAACCTTAAAGCAAGGCGGAAGAAGGGGTTCACTTTCTCTCACTAAACTTTCTCTCTCATAAACTCTTGTTGTCTTAATGAAGGAGAAGATATCACTAAAAAATTATACTGCAACACGGATTTTCTGGTGACTAACGCGTGAATTTAATTAAAATATGAAAAAGTTTTCAATTTTTTTATTTGATTTAGTTTCTCGCTCTAAATACAGTGTTTTTAGAAAGAGGGAGAGAAATTTGATTTGAATTTGGGTTTCATTCCGACCGCATTTGGACCTCATATACCAGTATTGATATCTTTCAAATTTTCAATCAATCAATCACAAACTCATTCAATTCTCTATTTTTCTATCCCCTCCATCTCCGCAGTATATAATGGGTTTTAAATGGTTAGAATGTTAGATACAAAATACAATCGTACAAAATTTGGCCATAACATGTGAAATATAAATACTCCTTATTTTCTTGGCAAATTAATCACCTTGATAAATAAAAATGGTAAAATTTTACATAAATTACTTTACATTACAAAATTGCTATTTTAACTGTACAAAATTGCTATTTTAGCTTTTTATTTACCATTTAGCTGTTTAACACGTACTCCGTAGTACATAAATTTAGTTTAATTGGCTTCCTCACTCGTACTTATTAAATTTGTCTTAATGTCACTTTATTGAAATCTAATTTGAGTTAAAATAAAAATAAAGGGAGGGGGTGATAATAAGATTCTAACGACACCCAAATAAAAAGTTTAAGAATAGTAATACGGTTCAATAGTTTTAAAATCTTATTTGACCCGTTTTCCACCCCCTTTTCACGCTAGTTTCCCCATAACTCCTTATAACCACCCCCTCCCCCCAATTCACCTTCCCTTTCATCATTAAATTAGGCACGGGGTAACAACTTATAATATTTAGGATTTCATATTCATAAGGTGATTTTTTACCAAAAAAATAAAATTATATAAGATAGTTTTTCACAAATTATAAGATATTAAGGTAGTTTTCGATTATCTACTCTCATATTTAGGATTTAGGAATAGTAATAGGGTTCAACCCCTTCAATTTATGTGATTCACAATATATATACCACTATCATACTACATTTCAATTCCTTGCCTCCCTACAATTACATGTCCATTCTTGTTATTATATTCTTACCTACGGTACAAATTAAACTAACTCCGACTTCCTCATAAATCTAACTGTTACAGATGAGCTCTGATAAGTGTTATTTGGGGTCGGTAAAGGGTTTATTGTCCAACTGGATACCTACATAGTCAACATGGATTAGCTAATCCCTGGGGTTTATCCGAGGATAACTGCTCCGATGGTAAAGTCGGTAACAAGTTGATATGAGTAAGAAAAGAGGTGAGAGACAGGGTTTTTAAGAGAGAGAGAGAGAGATAAAATCGTAGCTTAGAAGTGAATTATGTTTGGATATTTATAGGAAGATAACCAAGCTGGTGACGCATGTTGATCCACGTAGCTGGCATGACAAGTGGGCGGTGAACATCCACGTGGTCGGAAGCAGCTCTCGACGTGGCTGACAAGAATATGTCGATAAGGTATTCATACCGATATAGAACGGGACCTAAGGGGGAAGTTTCAGACCATTGCTTTTTATTATATCATACCGGTACCGGTATCATCCCATACACTAACTTCTTGAAGAGAGAAATTACAATTTTTTCATAAGATTTTGCTATAAACGTCACAAAACACAAAATTTTTCCAAATTTAATACAGCTATAATGCTAGGTATTGAAAAGTTAATCAATTTTATAAAGTTTAATTTCACAGCTTAACATAAGAAAACTCTTTTCCTACCAAAATATAAATGCTTTGTCTGTAGATAAGCTCTAATCCTGCCAGATGACATGATGTGATTTTGTATGATTCGATGTATATAAAATTTAAAAATAAAATTAAACAAAATCCCCGAAACATATCACATTCTTAGAAAAATCTAATAACATATCATATCACTAAACTTCTATAACTATAACTAAAATAAAAATCGCTTACATCATCATGTTACACATGTCAATTTGTCATGAAAAGATTTCCCTCCCAACTTTCTTATGACGTCATTTTTTCTATATTTTTTTCCTTCCAAATTCAATATTGGGAAAATAAATCTTAATAATAAATAAATAAAAGTGAGAACATCAATTAACCAAAAACGTATTAGTGATATTTCTCTTTTTAAAAACCTTCATTACTCCGTATTTCATATTTTGTATTGATTTATTTTTTTTAATTCTAAATCGTACATCACATGAGTACTGATCTAGTTAATATAAATAAAGTCAGTCTCGCATCTAGGGCACGAGATAGTGACACTTGGCATTCCAGTTTTTTGCCAAGTGTCAAGCCATGTAGGTGACAAATAAGTATTATTGTGACACATATGATGCTAAGTAAGCGAAGTTTGAATAAATTTTTAAAGATAAAAAAGTTGTATTGAGTTTATTATCGATATACTTCTAATATTTCATATATACAAAATTAATCATAACTTTTAATAATTATCTTATAATTTGGCACTATTTCCATTATAAAATTTGTTTTAAAAAATATCTTTAAAATAAGATCCATTTATAATATATTTAATTTATTTACAAAAATAATAGAGAATTAGTGAAATTAAGTTTTAATCATGAAAAATAATTTTTGTTTTGGTAAAAATACTTTAGTTTAGTAAAAATAATTTCAGTTCAATAAAATATATTTCAATTTAGTTTGTCTAAATATCCTGCATTATCAAAAGAAATAATATGATCGTATTTAACATTCAATTCAAAAAGTTTATCCTAAACTTTCACAACCATCTGGGCATCGCCTGGCATAAAACTAGTCAATAATAAATAAAGCTAGTCTCGCAGCCAAGGCACGAGACAACGACACTTTTAATAAATATCCAATAACTCAGTTATAATTCCATCATAAAATTTGTTTTAAAAAGTTCTTTAAGATAAAATCCATTTATAATATATTTAATTTATTTTTAAAAATAATAGAGAATCAATAAAAATAAGTTTTAATTAGTAAAATTAATTTTAGTTTGGTAAAAATTAAATACTTTCAGTTCAATAAAAATAATTTTAAGTCTATAATAACATAGATATCTATTTAATTACAAATAAAACTACAAAAAGTACAATTATTATATAAATAAGTGATATGATATTGTACCCTTTCACAAAAAAAAAAAAAAAAAAAAAAAAAACAAAAAAAAACCAATATGATATTGTATGTCTAAATATCTAACATTATAAAAAAGGATTATAAAACCGATTTTAACATTCAAACCAAAAAAATTATCAACAATTTGGGCATCCCCAAGCACAAAACTAGTATATATATAAAGGGGAGTTTTTTCCCGAGTTTTTAGAGCGCCACGTAGGATTTTAGTTTTAAAAAAAATATTAGAGTGCCACGTAGGATTAATATTTTTAAAACCCTACAATCGAATTATGCCACGTAAGATTAGTTTTTTTTAAAGCATTACGTAGGATTATAATAAAAAAAAAACGCCATGTAGGATTAATATTTTTAAAACGTTACAATAGGATTATGCCACATAAGATTAGTTTTTCTAAAGCGCTATGTAGGAATATAATAATAAATAAAAATTTATCAGAGCATCACATAGAAAAATGTTATATTTTAGCCAACGAAAAAAAGAATTGCAATTTATTTTAGATCTAAAATTTTATATTAATTATAAAAATAAAATAAGCACATTTTCTATATTGCGGCCATATCGTGTGGCCAGCTGAGATACACCAAAATACTGATCGAGTAACCCCTGATCGATCAAGTAACTCTTGACCAACTGAGTAACACTTGACCAAGTAATTCCGGGCACACAGTGTGACCAATCACATATAAAATTTTGTGAAATGAAAAATTATCTTTTTATATTAGGAATTTTTATCTAAATATGGAAATATGCAAAACAAAATTAATAATTCATTTTATAATAAAAAAAATTGAAGTAGTAAACAAGCGAATATCACAGAGTTTATCAAATAAATATATATTTAGAAAAATATTTTATTTGAAAAAATACAAATAAACCGTGCATCGCACGGGCTTCATATAGTCAACATCTAAAAAAATAGAATAAATTCACATTATTAGCAGGGTAATTAAATAACCTCACAAAGGGATAAATCAGCCTCTAATTAGTTGTGTAGGAATTAATTAATTCATAACTAATCATTGCTTAGATATCCTTTTATAGTATAAATATTATACCAAACTAAAATAATCCCCCACTCTAAATGAATGAATTGATTAGTGTTTTAATTAAAAAAAGTTACTCTGTTAAAGTAACTACAATTTCACTTATCGATTAGGTCTTGGCCTACTGATTATGACCGAGGGCCTATGTAATGTGTACGATAGGTCACATGTTCAAATCCCCACCCCCAATTATAATTTGTATGAGAAAATTCATGTATCTCAACATGAGATACATATCATGTATCTCAAAGCGGTACATTTGTCATTTTAGCTAATACGATGAGGTTAAAATTGTAAAATTGTCTAGAATGTCATTTTATTCAAGCAAAAGCAGAACAGCGTTAATGGAGGAACGAAAATCAGAACAACATCAATGGAGGAACAAAGAGCTTCAACGGTGAAATGGAACTCGACAATCGGTTTCAATGGAGGAAATTAACACTCATACCCTTTGGGTTAACCATGCCCTTAATTTCTCTATTTTTCTTAGGGTTTTCGTTTAATGAAGATAAACGTTGGTGGTTTACAAGATGAAGCAATATTATTAGGAAGGGGCAAGAAAGAGATGAAAAATGGAGGGGAATGACAATGGAGCAGATCTGCAGATTATTTGTTGAAGAAGACCAAACCCAAAAAAATAGTACATTAAAAATTATAAAATAATCATAAAGTTCTTTATATTTACCTATTTGCCATTTTGAGATATTGTGGCTTCCTCAATTTGTATTGCCCTTGTATATTATTCACACCAAAAAAATAAAAAAAAAATAAAAAAAAATTCGATGCTTTCAAGGGAAGGGCTTTTTTTATTAACACTGTACTTGTATGTTTTGCCAAAATAGAAGAATAATCGTTTATAATTTAACAAGAAAGGCAAAATTTTTTTCAAAAAATAAAGGTAAAAAGCACCTATATTGACTAATGATTTTGATAGAAGGGTAATTAATGGTTATATATGTGGACTTGTGGGGTATTGATAAATGATTAAATGATATTTTCGACATGGAAAAATATGTAAGACATCAAACATTATACATGACATTAAACTCATCAATTTCTTCAAAGCATCCCTCGATTATATTGCCCGTACATGTGTTACTTATTAGGATGGAGTTTT